AAACTTGGATGTGAAGGTGATCCGAATTGAGAGGAAATCACCCAACGAGGACTCTGTCACCCAATTTTCCGCTATTGAATGAAAATGCAGGAAGAGAGCCATCATCCAATGAAATGCCTGGCGTCTACAAGCAATCAGTGCATTTCGATTCGCAGACCATGAATTTCAGTTCACCCAACGAGGACTCTGTCACCCAATTTTCCGCTTGTTATTGAAAATGCAGGAAGAGAGCCATCATCCAATGAAATGCCTGGCGTCTACAAGCAATCAGTGCATTTCGATTCGCAGACCACCGATGAATTTCAGCCTTCATTTGTGTGGCAGAGTTTCGACGCCAGTTACTAGCACTGGTAACTTCAGGGCAGTCTGGAGCACTGCAGCGGCAAACTGTCTCAGCAACGAATTCCTTTCGTGTAACAGTTCAATGACTCGAGCTTCACTGAAACGACCGTTTTTGCGGCTCAGTGGCGTTGAGTCCTCTAACAGCTATATCGTACACATATGTTCAACAATCGTGAGCGCCACCTTCGAATCCCGCTAGGGAAATATGGGTCAATCCTACTGCGTAAGTACTGTGAAACCAAAGAAAAAGGGACTTGATTCTTGTCTACTGCAGGATTTCTCCGAATTCAACATCTTCAAACGTTCAATCACACAATTGGAAATGGAACTGACAGCACGAACGCTGACTTCTTGCAATGTCCACAGAAAAGTGCAGGAGTGATCAAGAGGATCCCCTCCTGGAAGACGGTCTGTATCGACAACACAAACTTTTTGTCGTCGCCTTCACACCGTTTTGCCATTGTCTACGTCGCGTTTTCCGAAGTAGGCACGGTACTTGTCTCAGTAGACAGTGTTTTGCAGTGGGTAGTACACAGCCAAGGCACCGCATTCGATGGTGCTCGATGCTTTCCACGACTGACGTACCCACCGCACAACAAAATACACGTTCTCTATTTGCCTTGTCACGAACATACAACACTACAGTCCTTAGTGCAGTCTGGTACACGCGCTACAAGTGATGCAAACGCGGTTCGAGCCTTTTTGGATTCGTGTACTGACCCCCATTTCCGTCAGATTTAATGCAACAACCGATGTATTTTGCGTACGAAAAAAGCCCCATATAAATCGTGGCTCAAGACGACCTGAAATTAAAGCAGACAGAACAGTTCTTCAGAAAATATCCCCAGATTATCTCAAGTGAACTGTTAGTTCCCTCATTGGGACCCCTGCGAATGGACCACCTCATCATATGGCTTCTACTGCATCATCATCATCATCATCATCGACAGCATGACATCAGTGTTCAACACAGATGCTTCACTGCTGTACAACCATGATTTATTTGAAAGCATTATTGTAAGGAAATGAGTAAAGGTAGACGGGGAAGGGACNTAAAGGTGGCTGGGGGAGGGACTTAGTGCTAGCATACTACAAGCATTCCGAGGTGCCTATACCTCCAGACACTCACTCAGGCGATCTGGATAGAAACCGACAACAAGAACGCCACTCACTTCTACTTGAGAAGGTTAGACATAGCTGTCTGGACCGGTGCTGCCACCAAAAGAGTTCGGAAGGTCCTGGAGGATATGTTCCTGATGATTGCCAGAGTGGTCGTTTGGACTTCTCCCCCCCCCCGTTCAGTTCTTGTCCACTAAGCAGATCGATAATATGCACTCATCAACCTGACGGCGTCGACCAAAGAACACGAGCCTACTTTTCCCAAAAACAAGTAGGTGGAATCGATCTGATTTTCCGGTAAACCACACAAATCTCACCAACTCTGGATGAAAACTTCTGCCGACTGAGCTGTTCGTTCACTGACATCACTGACATCAAAACCAAACATCACTATTTCCAAATTTTACCTACATTGTTTCATCCGAATATATTTTCAGTCTGCGAACTGAACTGTTCTCACATGCGTAGCACGACTGACGTCAGGGTGATGTTGCGTAAAGTGAATAAATGGTTTGAAAATATCGATTTTTGTTGGTTGTTTTGATTGTTCCTCGTCAAGACGCTTTTTTAACGGCTATCAAACCATCCGGGTGATCAGGTAGGTTGTGGAGACCTGCCGGTGAGTCCGAAAGCTTCAGCAACCCACAGTTGCTTAAGAACAAGGGTTGGAAGTCATTTCACTACTCTCAGATTGAATAAAATAACTAAATTTCATGTGAAGTCTGAGTACAGCTCACCTTCGAATAGATGTTGTTTATGTAAGGATTTCGAATCTCGACAAACACACTCATGTGCATACCAGTTTGAGTTTTCAAGGGAGATTGAACTTAGTTCCAGTAGAACCGCTACCTCATGATGTTTTTATTCAAACGAATGTGCTGCACGGAAACTCGGAACTGTATCTACATGATGAGCCATTAGGAGGGCAAAACCGATCATGGGTTGTCTAAGATTTATGAGTAGTGTGGTAAGTCTATACAACTTCAAATTTGCTGGCAGCAATTCATCCGCTGAAACACACTTGCCTACTCAGAAAGAGACCGCCTCAAGTGACTGAGTCCTTGTGAAACCTGATGAAATACTTGCGGTTTGTTCTACGCTTGGTGTTCCACCAGCCCGGCTATCACATCTACACTGCTCTCGATCACTGTTTGAAAAATCCGGCCACCCAAGGATATCGATCATACTCGAGGTTTCTTCACGTAAGTGACGGCAATCTATGCTGAACTATTGCTTCATCCATGCTGGGAATCACCAGCGGTGTGCATTTTATAAATCTTTGGAGGGGGTCGGACAAACTAGCAGTCAAATGCCGTACAGTTAGATCACTGGCGACCGGTTGCAGCATAAGTGACATGTATTTGGACAGATTATGGCGTCACTCACTCATGCAGTTCCTACCACCGGCCCGTGTGTTGACATTCTCCTAGAGTAGTGACTTCTCAGGTGGAATGCAATCATCGCATGATCACGTGATGTGAATTTCGTGAATGAAGCACAGGTGACGCTGTATCCTGTGTGCATACTATTTACTCGCATTGCTGATCGGTCTCCCGCGGCAGACTGGCTAAGTCGCCATCTTCTGGCCGGATGGTTGCGAGTTCGATTCCTGGAAATTCCTGAGGTTCGTACAAGCGACGATTCCCAAGGAGAATTAAACAGCCAGGCGGTTTTCCTGGGTTTCTTACTTCACCTTCAGGATGAAACTTCGATTGGCATTTTGAAACCTCCTCATACTCTTCCGGATACATAGAAGTTAAGTGCCGGAAGGGCCCTACAACTGAACAGTTGTATCCGATAGATTGACCTTGGTGCTTAGAACAAGTGTAATGTGCGGTACAGGTAGCCAAGAGGCCTAGAGATACTGCTCAGCTGTTCTACACTTAATCGGATCTGTGGGATGAATCGAGCGTGCTTCATGTAGTGTGAAGAAGGTAGTCTTTCGGTTACGAGTGGATAATCAGCTATGTGTTTGATCTGCACTTAGACAGGATATAGCGTCACTCATTTTCCAATCACGGAAGTCACTTCACATGTTCACATGTTGACTGGCTCCCCTTGAGTGATGATTTCTCATTTGGAAGATTCACGCGTTGTGTGAATTGGTTTTCCTTCTGGGAGCCAATCAGTGTGTGATCACGTGAGTGAATCACGTGGATGGATGTGTGGTATTGGTGCTGCCTGAGCGCGAACTGATCACACAGCTGAGCGGCTGTTCGTGATTGGAAGGTTCAAACTCTAAATACCAGTCAGGAAGTCGTGGGTTTGAATCCGTCCGGAGATCGATGAGGTTCGCCGCATCGTTAATTCCAAGATGGGCTCTTCGGTATGGACTGAGTTCAATTCGATGGGGAAAGCTAGACCGAAACTTCCAAATGTCATATTGCCATAAGCATTCTTTTCTTGATGGAAGGCAACCTGAGCAGGCGAGCTCTCTATACACTACCCTGAACTGCGTGTCATCTGAAAAAGGAGCTTCTATAATCCTATTCAATGTCCAGTTTTCGGACCTCATAGGGTTCGCGGTGTTTGCCCGTGAGAAGACGATTGGATCAAAGAATGCTGGGGCTGCCGCCGAAGGTGCAACTTGTGATGACCCGTGACACAACACAGGTGTGGTTCTCCAATCGAAATAAAGAAAGGCTTAATCCAATCACGTGATTTCTGAATGACCAAAAACAGATCAGACACTCAAATTGAGTCTGTTCTCAAGTGTCCTAGATGAGCTTTACCTGTGCTTCTCCTATAAGAACTATGACTTCCGTGACGGATGCTTGAACTCCAGACCACTGGCACGTGACTTCTCGCACCAAGTCCAACTGACCGATGTCAGACAAGCCTAGGATTTCTTGAACTTATCCCATAACGAGGTCTACAATGGTTTGGTACATTCTCCTCAAGTCCGATGTTGGTTCACGAATCTATCGCTCAGCTGAAGTTTGGAACCAGTGGAAGGGAGCGTAATCAGAGCAGATTTTGGTCACCCAGGTTATCGTACTCTCTGAAGTGTTCATATGTTAGCTGATAGGAGTTTCTGTGATGTTCTTGCAATGCGTCGTTGTGCATAAGAAGTAATCATTAAAGTGGAGCACCTTTCGGTACCCACCAAAAGGAAGCACGAGGGCTGCGATACTGCCAGGTAGCGCGAGCCTAGACGGAGGAAGTCGAGAGGTAAAGGACGGGTTCGAACCGCGGATTTTCCGATCAAGAAATTCGTGCTCTAACTAAGCCATATCGCCCCCGTCGTTGCGATCCAGGTGACCTGTTCCTCCGCCGTATATTGATGTTTACCACCCGATATTCGCTTTCAGTGGAATCAAAGAATTCATCGTCATTCACTCTACCTCATCCACATATGCAAATGATTTGATACGCGTGTTTTTACCGGTGGAACCAGACATGGCCGACCAAATCACAAGCGGTGTGCTCTTCTTTCGAAACCAATAAATCACAGGAAGCAATTGACGATTAACGTATAAGCACATCACTCTCGCTCGCCACGTTTTGATTCAATGATAGTAGTGAGTTGAAAAGGAAGCCAAATAGCCTTGAGTTACACAGACACAACGTAAAAAGCAGGTCGAGCGCCTGCAGTGTAGTTTGTGTACAATAATACAACAAATGCACATAGTTGGTTGTTCGCCTTCCTGCCTGACTGTGTCGGCGAGGTCAATAGTGTCAGTTCAGGACACAAACAAGACTGAGGTCATCTAGAGGCAGGACGTAGACAAGGTGGGGGGGTCACGCGCGACAGACATGTATGTAGCTGTGTGCAGGCCACCAGAAGTAGTCACCCTGACAGCTGATCCAAGACCAACCGGGTCGTATGTTATTCTGACTATCCGCTATCAACTACTTATGCAGTGAACTGCCAGGACAAGACTGACCAAATCCACTTTGTACTTGAAAATGTACAGGAAACTTTCCGTCATAGTAAAATCCTCAGGTCCAACAAACACCTATCAAGGTGAGGGGCGAAACGAGTTTAGAAACATCTATATGAGTACTTGTTGTTGGTCAATTTCATGACAGGTTCCGGTACGTGCGCTAACTCAGGTAAACCAAATGGATTCATCGCTGTATTCATTTGAACAGTCATGTTCTTGTCCTGACATGATTATTTTGTTGACCTTAAGCGGGACTTCCCGGGTTCCGTCCATCGTGTCGTGGGACAACATGAGGAGGGTTCCGACAATCCAGCAACGTTCCACACTGAATACCTAATTTCTCTGCGTCTAGATAAGGGCAGTAACTGCGTGGCGCGTTCAATTTGAAGTGGAGCACTTGGTGGTCAAATGATAGCATGATAACATCTTCGTGATGAATCCAGATCAGGATGAAACTCACAGTGAGTTAGTTCTCTTCTGATTTCCATTTAGACGGTCTCGAAATTGTCGCGTATTAATGCAAGGTGTACGCACCGTCGTTTTCTATGGACACAGTGGGAGCACTTGCGGTTAGCTGCGTTCTACTTCTCTCTGCTTATGGTCGTTTCAGGTGTAGGTTGACAAGACGTTTTTCTTTAGCACTGTCTTCGTATGTAAATTAACTTAGGGACAGTTATGAATAACGACTGTTGGTGGACGAAAGTGTGACCTATTACCTCAAGGCTCACACGACCGCTGTTTGACCTGAAACTGACGTTCGTTATTCAGGTTGGAGCGTCTTGCATTACCAGGTAAGATTTCCAATCATCAAGAGCAGAATATCTTCGTCCTGCTTTGTACTCACTTTCATGATCTTGGCTGACTTTAATCTGTCTATGTACACAGGTTGTCTTGCAACACTTCCGTGATCGCGCAGATTTGATCACACCTAATTCAGGCAAACAAAAAACTTGGGTAGGTAAATATACACCTCGTGATGTTTGGGTACCTGGTGAACGATGGTGGCTGAACAAAGGTCGATATCTTCATCGCACATACCTGGAGCAGTCCATCAGATAAAATTTGCACGCATGAAAATGTTATATTCCAATAATGACTCTTGGTATTCCTACGTATCAGAAGCGGGGGTGGTGGAAATACCGCCCGGTGATCTAACAACCTATTCAGGAGCGATCGATGAGCCAAACGTCGACGCTCAGCTTAACCGAACGATCCTATACAGCAAGTTTGTTCTGTAGGCCAAACCCCAGTACTGATGATAGTCTGAGTTTCTCGAATACATATCACTGTTTGTTCGAAAAGTTTTGAGAACTCTTCATTTGAGGCTTCCGTTCATACTAAGAAGCCGAGAAGCACTGTACAGCTGTTTCAGCAGCAGTGAGCATCTCACGAAACTCGACGGTGTCTCGAACCTCCCGATTGGTAGCTGATAGGCCGTGTGAGTAACTCGCACTTAGATAGGGAATCGCGCCATCCATCCTTCAATCACGGAATTCGCATTACGGGGAAAAGAGTGAAACCAAACAAATGTTCACTAATTTTAACAGCTAATAGCCAAACTTTCCTAGCTGTCGCGATGTCATCAAGAACTTCTATGACCACACTCACTTCTCGGAACCTGCTGGCAAATGTTCCACTACCTGAGTGGAGGTGTAATTCTCGGGTGGACATTTTGGAACCCTAATCCAAGCCCGGAATTACACAGTGGCTTTCATTTGACCGATAACTACAACAAATATCCAAGGTCACATGCTTCCACCCGAAACGAGGCCACATGAGCGGTGAGCTTCGACAGGATGGCTGTAATGATTAGGAATACAACCGGTAAATTAGTTAGACCAGTTAGGTAAGCCGGTCATTTAGTAGCGCATTATCATCCTCGACAGCATGACATCAGTGTTCCACACCGTACAACCGTGATTTGTTTGGAAGCCTAATTGTAAAGAAAAGAGTGAAGGTGGAGGGGGAAGGGGACATAGTGCTAACCTACCACAATCATTCCGAGGTGCCTACACCTCCAAACATTCACTCAGGCAATCTGGATAGGAACTAACAACAAGAACGCCACTAACATCGATTGGCAGCCATATCCTGTAGTGTCTCCAAACAGGCACAGTGAGGATCACACAGGCTATTTGAACACCAGGGTTTTGGAGACCCTCCAGCGTTCGTCTCATTATTTCATCGATCACAAAGTTAAAAAGGAATGGAGAGAGTGGGCATCCCT